TAATACTAAAATGTACTTTATTGACCTTATTCTTGGTTAGATCAGATGAAAATGGGTATTTTCTTTGTTTGAATCATCTTTTGTGTTGTAGCTCTGCGAAACCTTCGGCAACATCCGCCACACTGGAACTGGACAAACTGATGGCGTCTCTGTCTGACTTCAGAGTCCAGAGCACGGTAAGAGTCCCCTTAACACAGAGAGCTGTAACCCGTCAATGTCTGCAAGAGCGTGATGTTTGTTTCCTGCTCGGAGCTTTTAGACAGCCCACGCAGATTCCCTGTGGATCGTTCACTTGACTTGGCGATGACCACGCTGTTACTGTGTGGCCCGGGCCTGACCGCAGCACATGCCTCCTGGTTGTAAATCAGTCACCAGATAAGGCCTGAAGATTGAAATTAGCCTCGGTGGAGAAGATTTCCAGCAACATAAATAACTAAAGATAGAAGGGAGAGTTATAGATCGGCATTTGGTTTTGGATATAATCTGATTATAGTGAGTCAGTGACATGTGAGGAAAGGACGTGCTGCTGTTATTGTGAGGCTGGTTGGTTCCAGTTTACAGTTCAGTTGTAAACAAGCCCGATAGTTGAGGATTGCAGAAACAGAAGAAAACACATGATTGGATATTGTCATCAGTAACTTGTGATGTTCAGTACTGCAGTGTTGACATTGACACCCAGTAGAGAACACAACTACAGGCTCATAACAAGCCTCTCGTCTAGTTTCTAGAAAGTTAGAGTTTGTTTGTGATCTTTCATAAAATGGCTGCAGTGTATTCCCCTGTATTACAGCTACTCTTAGCGTCTATTTTTTATTCAGCAGGATTACGCAAAGAAAACGACTGAAACGATTTCCACAACATGTGGTGGAGGGGTGAGGCGTGACTGAAGGAAGGTTTGGATAAACAGGATAGGGTGCTGACTTTGAGATTCTGCGTGATGTTGAAGTTAGTAAGAAACTTTCACAGTTTGATGGTCAGGGATCAAATGCCCTAAAAAATGTCAATTTTCTCCTGTCAAAGTCTTGCACAGATAAGAATCTGATTGGTTATCTGCAGATATTACGCTCAATAGAGATTATAACTCTGCAAAGGCTCAGCAGTCCTAATTTAATCAAGCTGCACCAAATCCCTCTCATAGATATCGGTCCGACAACAAAAAACAAAGAAAAACATCAGATCTCGCAAGATTAAAGAAAGTGACAAAAAAAAATCCTGGGTCCGCCCCCCGATCCATGTCCCTCCAGCGTTCTTTACTGACCGATAACACATCCTTCCATCAAGTATTGTGAAAATCTGTTCAGTTGTTTTTGTGTAATCTTGCTTACAAACCAACAAACAGGTAGAGGGCTGAAAACACAATTTGCTTTGTCGGAGCTAAAACTAAGAAACTCTGTCACCACCTGTAGAATAATGTCAAACCTCTGAAGAATTCAAATCCCCCACACATATGTGCCACGCATCATTCTTCTTTCTCCTCCCACAGCCAGCTGCACCCGTCAGTCCAGTGGTGACGGCACCACTGCAGCCTGCTGCCGCCGCCCCCCCACAGCCCTCCTCCGGCGGCTCATTGGACAGCATGCTGGGACTGCTTCAGTCTGACCTGAGCCGACAGGGCGTTCAGACGTCCTCCAAGGGAAACTGTTCAGCTTGTCAGAAGCCAGTAGTAGGACAGGTGAGGTATCAGTGTTTTTCTATGTCTTCCTGCCAGGGAGGTGTAATGTTTCCTCATTGTGTTGTTGTGATCACAATCTCTCCAGAATGCCTTCAGAGAATTTCTTCAGATTTGGAAGAAATGTTCAGTTTGTCTGAAGAATGAAGTGATTAGAAAGAGCTCTGAGGAATACAACCACAACTTCAATTGATTTTAATCAATCCCACGTGCAGGTGGTGACGGCTCTGGGGAAGGTGTGGCACCCAGAGCACTTTGTGTGCACCGAGTGTGAGACAGAGCTGGGCAGCCGCAACTTCTTCGAGAAGGACGGACGACCATACTGCGAGTCGGACTACTTCACCCTCTTCTCTCCTCACTGTGCGCACTGCAACAAGCCCATACTGAACGTGAGACTCTTGGATGTGCACATGCCTCAGTTTATTCAGCTGGAATCAGCCCGTGTGAAACCAGTTACCTCTTTATTCCTCTTGCTGTTTAGAAAATGGTCACCGCTCTGGACAAGAACTGGCACCCGGAGTGTTTCTGCTGTGTTAAATGCAGCCGGGCGTTTGGAGAGGAAGGTAACAGTCGGCACTGTTTCCTGTCTGGGTTCAACACACATCTGTTAACAGTAAACTGCAGCCAGCCGCTCACACGTACATAGGTTCCTACTATCAAACATACTGTTTATATAATATTCTGTTAATCATTCATGTAATCAGGGATTTAACATTACATGATTCATTAAATCGGTCAATCGATCTTCGCATCACATTCACCATCAGTGTTTGAGTCAAAAACCTCAAGTCTTCTCCATCCTGAACATCCAAGAACTGGAGAGAAACCCTGAATCTTTGTTTTCGTTAAGCATGAAAATTGAAAACATTAGAAGCTTGAGACAAAAAATAAATACTGTCGACCTTAATGAGAAAAGGTTCAGACAGTGTTCTGCATTGTCCATTTATCTAAACAAGTGTGTGCAACTGTAACTGTGTCCCCTGCAGGTTTCCATGACCGTGAGGGCCAGCAGTACTGTCAGCAGTGCTTCTTGACTCTGTTCGCCTCTCGCTGTCAAGGCTGCACTCAGCCCATCATGGAAAACTACATCTCAGCCCTCAACTCTCTCTGGCACCCGCAGTGCTTCGTATGTAGGGTGAGTGTTTCTCATAGTTAATGTCTGTCAAACATTTAAAATTCACAACAACAGGAACACTTCCTGAAGGTCCAGACAAGCGGTGGCACCTGAGCAGAGCGGCAGGAGGCAGGACATGACGTAAAAGATTCAGCTGTGGAAATCAAGTTTTGTTTACAGCATGGTGTCACCGGAGTTTTCCTAGGGGGGGCTGTGAAAAAACTTTGAAGATCGCCTGGAGCAACTGACCCTGACATTTGCGTTCTCACATACGGCCCCAGATAATCTCTAGTGCACATCTGAGAGCAGCTTTACGTGGTTGAGGTCCTGCAGGGTCAGTGTGGACCTCTGCTATGGGACTGGAAATGGGTCACGGCACATCTCTGATATTCGTTCTATTTGCATAAGTGAAGCTCACTGACCAACAGCTCAGAATAAAGTCAGAGCCCTCAGTAAAATAACATGGTAAAAAGGTTTTTATGAATAATTTGGAATTATGTCATGAGAAACGTTCTAATTGCAGTTCCTGGAGCCAGGACTCGCTGCTGTGACTGAGTTGCTGCCTTTCTCTTTCCCTCTCGTCTCCAGGAGTGCTACACCCCCTTCGTCAATGGCAGCTTCTTCGAACACGAGGGCAAGCCGCTGTGCGAGGCCCACTACCACCAGTCCCGTGGCAGCATGTGTCAGGCCTGCCAGCAGCCGATCCTGGGCCGCTGCGTCACCGCCATGGGGGCCAAATTCCACCCCCACCACCTCGTGTGTCACTTCTGCCTGAAGCCCCTGAGCAAAGGCTGCTTCAAGGAGCAGGAGAACAAGCCGTACTGCCACCCCTGCTTCATCAAACTCTTTGGTTGAGGACACAGCAGGACTTTACCCACTTTTCCATCCTCAGGGTTGAAGAGGCTGTGTGACTCTTAATTCTCAGTGTGTGTTTTTTACTGTGGGAATGAGGGTGGAGCTGGTCTCTTTGTGGATTTTAAAATATTTTGAGTGAGTGGAGTCATGTGGGGAAAAAGAGAAAATTGTCCAACCAAACTTTTTTATTTTTTTTTTGCGATTAGACTGACAGGATGACATTTAACTCTCATATTGGTTAGACACGTACAAAACAACGCCAAATGATTTTGTATATGTATGTGAATCTTTTGCATACTGTATTGATTCAAATTGAATATTGAAAATTGAATGCTTTTGCCAAAGGTAGAAAAACAGAATGAGACCAAACTTATTGTCGCAGTGAAAGACTTTGTACTGTTGTGCAAAGAAATCCCCTTTAATATATTTGCTTTGTATTGGAAAAAGAAAGTGTCATGTCTCTGCAGTTGCTTTTATATTTTGTATGCTTATGTTTTTGTGTAACAAACAAAGCTATCATATGTTTAAAGTTTGCATTATCCTTTCACTTTTGCTCTATGCAATCCGCCAAAAACAAATTCCAAAGAATTAAATAAAGGAGAACACAACTTGTTTTGCTGTTTCATTGGTGACTCAATCACAACATTAAAGATAAGCACAGGTTAGTCTTTTCAAACAAGGCGCACGAGGAGCACAAGTATCTGCACAAAGTTTATTGGGATGAAAGAGAATAGAAATACAACTGAGGAGATTCATTCATTCATTCACAAGACTGAAATCACAACATAAAGCCATAGTAGTTTCACACCATCCTTAGGTACGTTAAAGACGGAACATTTAAAGCATTTGGCATCTGAACAAAGACACATAGAGCAAAAACATTAGAGTCAGCAGATATTTAACTAAGGCTGTGGTCTATCTTTCTATCTATCTATCTGTCTATCTATCTATCTATCTATCTATCTATCTATCTATCAATCAATCAATCAATCAATCAATCAGTCAGTCAGTCTGTCTGTCTAAATAACATCAACACAACAATAATTATATTAATTATTGTTAGTAGTAGTAGCAGTGGTGGTAGTAGTGGTGGTAGTAGTTGTAGTAGTAGTAGTTGTAGAAGTAGTAGTAGTAGTAGTAGTAGTATTAGCAGCAGCAGCAGTATTATGACTGTGGTTTAAAAACGCCCCCTAGGGGTCAGTATTGGCTCGCTGCTTTTCCCACAGTAACACAACATTTAAAAAAATCTGCGGTTTGATCTCTTTCTGATTTTAAAACATAATTCAACGAAATAAGTAAAGAATATAACACAGATAAATAGAAATAAAGTTTATCATGCAGGGGAGGAGCTGACGTGCAGCGTGATGACGTGTGCACGCCTCCACAGGTGAGTTCATTTACAGGTGATGAGGCGCCTCGCGCTCCGAGCAGAGGAAGAAGAAGCTCTCAGAGGAAAGTCACCGATCAGAGTTTAAAAAACCGAGTCAGTGACACAATGAGCGATTCAGAACAGCAACAGGTGAGTGTGTGAGTCCAGCTGCTTTCACACACTCCACTGACTGTGAGGGCAGCAGGCGCTGGTCTCGGTCTGGGGCCTCGCACCATGTCGTCTGACAGAAAGCATGTGTGCACCTCCATGTGTTAAATGTGTGCATGTCTGTTGTTTCCACCCAGAAGACCGAGGAGGTGTGTGAGCCCCAGTGGCCTGAGAACGGAGCTGAGTGGAGCGATGCAGAGGAGGAGACCCACATGGACTGTGGTCTGCTGCAGGCCATGGCTGAGGAGGACGAGGACATCAATGTCTTCAACGAAGAGACGTTTGGAGCCGGTGTGTTCATGCAGTAGAGTAGGAACCACAATGACCCTCCATGACATGAATGTAGAATTACAGTAACATAGAAGTGGATTCACTTTGTTGTGCTAATTTGACAACAGGTGAGTTTATTTGATATAAGATGTTGACATTTTACCTCTAATGATGATTTGTTGTATTACAAATAAATTAAAAAAATATTATTTGTACGTGGATTTAAAGTCAAATTAAATGAATTGTGTTTTTTTTCTTTTGCTTTCCACAACAGAAAAACAAACTACACAACAAAAATTCTCACCTGTGACTTAGATCACAGATGAAGATGATCATGGCCGACTTATTTTGACCAAGTCCAGCGTGGTTTCGTTCAACGCTGATCATTTTGTAAAGAACTGATAAAAGGTGAAACTACCCTCTCACTGCATCTGTCTCGTAGATCTCGATACAAATGAGACCCCAGAGGGCCCGGGTGGCAGTCTGCTTCCGTTTGGAGAGCCGCCGCCGCCTCCCCCGCCATCGCCACCACTACCGGACCCCTCCCCTCCGTCTCACCACAACTCCCCCTCCCCTCCCAGACAGAAGCCACGGGACCTGCCCCGGGCCCCCCCTCGGCAGTGTGGCAGAGGTAGGGGACACAGGGGCGGGCTGAACAGGGGACAGATGTTTGAAGATCCAGCTGTGATGAGGATAGTGGAGGGTCGACCCAACGTCAAGGTAAAAAAAAAAAAAAAAAAAGAATTTATTCATTGCAGGATGACGTCTGGCCTCAAAGCAGCTTCTCCTCATTTCGGTGTGTTGTGTTTTTAAGACTCTTGACAGTGCCATCGTGGACTGTGGGAACACCGTGTGCCAGGAAATCTGTGAGGACGATGTAAGCGTCAACGTTTGAAGACACTTCACTTCTCGTTTGTGATTTTAAATTCACCGTTTTAATTTATTCCCCCCTCAGTGGATGGCGCCCAGTTACAGAAAAAACAGGCGGATCTCGGGATCACTACTTCAGGTTAGATCACAAAAGAGCACATGTGATCATCGGAGTGTTTTACTTAAACAAATAACTCTTATTTTATTCTGTTTCTTAGGACAGTGCTATAGTTTGTGTGATTGATGGTCACAGAGGCAGAGGTCAGCACCTGACCTCCAACTTCCTGGATTTGCCATATCCTGTCTCCTCCTTCAGGGGCAGGAGAGGGGAACCCCGAGGTCCCTACTGCAGGAGACAGTTTGGCCAAAGAGGCCCGTCGCAGGTGGAGAATTCATTTACTACCTGGTCCTTTTAAAGAAACATTGGGTTCTTGTGAACATTATGAGGGAATTTCTTCAACCTAAATACATATATTCATTTCCCATGTGGGATTCAAGCATCGTTGCTGGTCAACTTCCTCACTCTTAATTTCTGTATTGTGTTGCAGATGCATTCACCACTGTTGCCGGGGTCGCCCGTCTTCTCACGTCAACCTTTGACCCCAAGGCAGCTTTACAATCAGGTTTATTCCACAATAAATCTGTGTTTCTCTGATGCAGTAAAATATCTGATGTAGTTTGTCCTGACTCGTGTTGTCACTTGTGTTGAATCAGACGGGGAGGTTCATGTTTCCTTCCAGCCGCCCGTGTCCGTCCACTCCTCAGTCTCTTACTCCTAAGATGATGCAACTTCGCTTTGGTGCCAACTCCCCGAGACCGTCGCCCTTTTACAGCCCCTCGTCGAATCCTGTGCAGCATTTCAGGTGCGTGGTCGATGTTTGACTTGTGGCCTGAAACATTTGTTAGCAAAGTTTGAATTCAAGTATTTTTTTTCTTATTTGCTCACAAGTTTATAAAACTCTTCATCCACTTGACATTCATGGATTTCGCACAGTCTCTGGCATGAATGTGTGTTTAACGAGATACTTCACTATTGCAGATATGTTTAGCGAAGATCCACATTGAATCCATAGAGATTAAAACAATGACCACACACACGTTTTCATGAGGTTCCTGCGAAGCGTCTAAATGTGACGTTCCTCTGACCCTCAGGTACCCCGGGCCTGTCACCCAGCTGCACCCCCAGCACAAACGATTACTCAGTCAGAAACATGTGTTTCAAAGGTCGGTTCAAGAGTCAAGATTTTGAAATCATCGTATTCAGTCTGCTGAGAACGAGGAGCGGCCTCATTAACGAGAGAGATGATCTGTTTGTAGAAAGTTTGACGGCTGGGATCCTTATTGTAATCTCATGACGACCAAAGAGAGGGAGTGGATCACCAGGCTGCAGATGATTCAGCTACAGAGTGAGAATCCTTATCTCGAGGATTATTACTACCAGGTAGGAAATATTTGCTCTCGTGTCGTCATTATTCATTTTTCTTATTATTAATTCCCCTTTGAGATGAATTAAGTATCTAAAAAGGAATGTTTTATATGCATAAGCAAAGTGTGACTTTTCTATGCAAGTGAATTTATCTTACTTTGTCGTAGGAGTACTACCGTCGAATAGAAGCCAAGATGGCCGAGGAGGAGCTCGGCATCAGGAGCAAGAGGGAGCCGCCCAAGCTCACCACACCGTACATCACGAAGACCGACTCCTACGCACCAGGTTGTTCTCTCTCTCAACATCAAGTCAATAACTTTGAATTTAATTTGCTTCCTAATTTACGTGTGAAACCAAACCTAGATCTTTTTTTTTATTCAAGCTTTAAATGCTCTGCACATTTTAAAACAACTCCAAGTCTTCTGCTCTCTTCCAGTTGTGCACATCGAGGGCTCGTTGGGTCAAGTTGCTGTCTCCACATGTTACTCCCCTCGTCGTGCCATCAGTGCAGTTAATGCCGTCCAAGCTCAGGGTCCTCTTGAGGTGACTGTGCGCCGAGACGCATTCTGGTGACTTTAGAAGTGTATTCATCTGTCGTCTGTGACACTGACGCCGTTATTTCCCACGTTACAGGAGCAAAAAGACACGAGACAGCAGCGGTTAGAGGTCCTCAGCAAAATAGAAAAGGTACCGGCTGGTTTGTCGTTGTGATGCAGTGAGATGCTTTTCTTTTTAAACTCTCGTCCTCTGATATTCAGTCCTACCTGTTTCCTGCAGTTGTTCATGGCTCTGTTAGAGGTGGAGGAGACGGAGAGAGTAAAAACCCCCGTCTTGTCTGAAGCAGAAGAAAGACTGCTGATGGAGAAAACTCAGTTTAAGGTGGAGCACATCTACTCTCAGCTGCAAAACCACAACCCTGCGTGAGTCACATACTCCTCGTTTGTAATTATTTCTTGGTTTATTTTGATGATTCTGTTGAAGATCTACCAAAAAAGTTTTTATAGACATTGAATTCTTGTAATAAATCTTCCCAAACTTTTTGATGTAGAGATTCAGGAGGAGAGTTTCTTCCTTTCCTGCACGTCTCAAAAGGCAAAAAGCTTCTCGCTCGTCTGCTTCCGTTTCTCAAACACGATTCGGCGCTGAAAATCTTGCGTATCGTGACGTCGAACTTACCAACGCTGATGAGCAAAGATACAGAAGAGGTAGGGAAGTGTGTTCCTTGAACTGTAATCTCTATTCATCTGTTTTATTGGTGTCAGGGGGAAATGTCTGAAATGGTTTTCTTATGAATCTTACATCGTCATCCACCTTTCAGGCTCTTCCAGTTCTCTACCCTCCCCTTCGAAATGTGATCGGAGGTCTGACGTTCAGTCAGCTCATTAGAGTTCTCAAAGATCTGACGTCATCGGAGGCTCTATCGACATACGAGTGTCTCACGCTGGCATGTCAGAACAAGGTCTGTGCTTTCTTTTAGTTTTCTTTTATTCGGTGTAATTATATTAGAAGCTCCTGGTGTTTTCTCACCTGCTGCTTCCCCTCACAGTTTGGACTGTCGTTGCTGTACGCTCTCCTCTCTCAAGGAGAGAAGCTGCTGTCGTCAGGCGTTCCTCTGGAGCCCAGCATCGGCGACTTTGAGACCTGGTGCGCCCTCTGACTCTAATTCTCCATGAAGGGAAGCCACTTTAACAGTTGTGTGGGATTTTGACGTTTGTGTTCCTGTTGTTTAGGACTGACACAATATTCCAGGTGGCGGGGCAGCTGTCCCAGTGTTCACTGGTGGAGCCGCTCATTCTGCCCTCGAACCTGCTCACTCTCTTCTGCCGTTACCTGGACAAGCGCACCGTGCATCAGCTGAAAAGCAACATGGAGTAAGTTTGATCCATGTTTTTATTCAAACGGAAGATATTTTGATGCTTTACACAGATGAACCTGGTGGATCCTGACTCAAATATCTTTAATTTAGGTCTGTGACTGGATTCCTTGCTCTTCCATCGTAAGCTGGACCGAAGCTAACGAGATGCTCGGCTAATAACCAGGTTGTAGTGAGCAGTGAGAGGAGCAGAAGCTTAAACTCCTCGGTGTTCGTTATAACAGAAGCTCTGTAAAATAATCGGAACTGTTAAAAATGCTTTAATTCTTATTCCCCTCCCTCCCTCGTCCCTTCACGTTTCTGCACTCTCAAACTGTTTCCCTTTTTATTTCCTTTATCTGATCTTTTTACTTTCCTCCCATTGGTCGCCAGTCAGTTGTCTGAAATTACAAGCTGCGTTTCTTTTTTTCATTCAATTATTTTAACCTTAAAGTGTTTCATCATTTCATTAGATCGTCATGGTGACATTAACTGGTGAATGGAGCTGATTTACGTCTGGCTTCTATCAAACCACATTATTTATTTCTGAAAGTTTCAACTTAAAGCTAATTACATTTAGGACAATAAATGTGCTGGCTCAGATATTTGCAAAACATATTTTACTTAAACGACACCCAAAAATAAAAGTAATTTATTTATTACTGATCTCAGAATAAAACAAATACTCATTATGTTAAGAAGTGAATTCTTTCTTTGAATATCCCTTTTTTTTCCCCGTTTTAAAATTCTGGGGAAACAAAAAATATAGTGGAACTACATTGTGGAACTTCTGTATTTCTATAAGTAGCATCTAATTACATTTAAGACAGTAGACTTCATGTTGTGTAGGACAATGGTGACCAGGTTGAGGATTGTATAGTAATGTAATTGTACAGCTGAACCTGTGTGTTCATATATCTTTTTGTTTTGTTTTTGCAAAAAAAAGCATGCATTGTGTGTATACATATGTAGGAATACTAAATATGATGTATTTGTAATTTTCCACCTTAGATGTTTCAGTTGTAAAGAGATTTTTTATTTATTGTATTCATTTGGAAACAGGAAATAATTTAAATTGCACCATTGTAGAGCACTTGCAACATAAATAAAAAAATATTTCAAAAATGATCAAGGGTTTGGTTGTGGTTTGCAGAAAACGCTCCAGCATCAGAGGGTTTTTCTACATCGTGTTCACTCAAAGTCCTGGATGTCGTATTGGGCTCTTAATAATTCTTAGTATCAAGTTTGACAGGCAGCGTCATCGTCAATCGACTCTGGCTCACACAAGTCTTTTCTCCACATATTGTTTGTGTGGCTGAGATTGAACCAAACTAATTGGCCTGTGTTGAAACACCAGCGTGTGACATTCCTACTGGGAGAAAGTGGCAGCGGCAGTGAACCACAATGTTAATGTGGTTTACGTTTCTGACATTCACAATATAACTACTACATAAAAGAGAAGCTACAGTAAATTAAACACAGATGAACCTTTAGTAGTTTTAGGGTATAGTTCATTCATTTTTTAAACATGACGTGTTCGAGACTCTGATGCTGCATGTTTGTGTTTATCGAGGCCTCCGTTGTGTCCATATCTGGATTTCTGAAGAGCTTTTGTCCCAGGACCTCGTGCGCCAACAGATAACCCAGTGTTGACTTCAACATGAAGATTCTGATCTTTTAAACTCTCCATTTTAATGTGACAGTTGATGGTAAATCACCTGCTGATGCTTTGATGATACGTGACGACGTCTCCTCATATTCAAGTGACAGTTTTTCAAACTGCTGCTCAGACCGCTGAGCTGTCTCTGTGGGTTTGTCAGGTGGAGTACAGTATTTTCTGTGCAGCTCTGGACACTCAACCGTTGGCAGATTCCACTGGCTGTTAACCAAACACTGAGTCAGAGCTCTGTTGGCCTGGTTCCTCACAGCTGCACACATCTGGTCCGGAGTTCATGTTGCAGACGTGACCGTGTGGCGTCATGGAGAATCCCTGACAAACAGCGGTTGCACTGTGGAGCCATTTTTAAGACTAAAGATGTAAATCAGGAGGTAAAGAAACTGTCAAAGACACTGACTGATTATTTCAGTCTTCCTGAAAACTGTCGACATAAGTTATCTCTGTTAATCGGTATCATAGACTAATTAATTAAAAACAAAACTTAATTAGCACTTATGGCGAAGTGGGGGTGCAGTGTTTAACCTTGCTGTGGTGTTGTCCATCCTTATATAGAGTTTATGATCTGGATGGGCTGCTCTGGCTCAGGGGTAGAGTGGGTCGTCATGACGAAGTGCACGACAGTGAACCTGTTGAAGGTTGTGCTGGCAGTGTGTGAATGAGATTAATTTAAAAAAATCTCTGCTCCATCAGTTGTGAGGCGACTTTCTTAAAACAAAACCTTTATTTAATAATTAGTTTCTGTCCCACGAGGTTTTCAAGAGTGATTCAAACTTATCGTACAAGAGATGAGGGATCAGAGACGCTTTGAACGAGCCGGTGAGAAGTTACAGACTGACGGTTTGTCAAAGGCAGAAGTGGTGAGTGAGTTTGTTGAGGAGCCAAGTATGTGAGAGGTCTTGGGGGGGGCTGCGAGGTGAGACGTTAACCTCTCCTTGACCCCATAAGAAGAGGATTTGGACTTTAGGTGAGGAATCTATGTGAAAGGTGAGATTTCTCTTTTTACCTGCTTTTTTTTCCTTGAAGTTTTCAAAGGGGCCACTCTCATCTCTCGTCACCAAGGAGACATCAGGGGCTCGAAGGTCAGTCACAGTTTCCATCACGTTACCGTGACGTCATCATTGGCAAAGTCCAGACAGGTGGCACGTCGAGCCGCCGCTGCCTCTTCAGGTCATTGCATGTACACTTTAGTTGTGTTCTGTCACTGTGGTGATTTAACTGATATTAATCTGCAGTTCAAATCAGCCTTTTAAGGCTGTTTGTATATTTACAGTGTGTCTCTGTGATCTCTGGCATCTTATATGTCAAACAGACACTAACTTGACAACTGGATTGTATTTATAAAGAACTTTCCCACACTATCAGCTTTACAAGTTGCATTCACCCATTCTACACGCAGCACGTTTTCTGTTACACACCCCCCCCAGGAGCAATTTGAGGTTCGGTATCTTGCCCAAGGACACTTGAGAATGCAGACTGGAGGAGCCGGAGATCGAAACTAACAACCCTCTCTGCCCTCTGAGGACAACAGCTCATGTAAATATTTACATCTGTTAGTGAACAGGATTACGCAAAAAGCACAGGACGCATTACCATGACACTTGGTGGAAGGATGTGGTGTGGGTCGGGAAATAACTCATTAGATATTGGTGCCGATCCAGATCAGGGGCGGAGTCAGGAACTTTATTTCACTCTTTCTAACCCTAAATGTTTCGGGGACTGATATTTGCGAGTGTGTGCAATTTGGTGGAGATCCAAATAAAAATCAGGAAGTATTGACATTCTAGTTTAGATTGAGTTTATTTTGCAGCTTTGCATGAAATTAAGAAGCTTCAGCCGGCATTACCATGACAACTTATCGATCCAAAAACTCTGAAGATGAAATCACAGTTAGCATATACACAGTGAATCAGTCATTGCCCAATCTGGGGACCTCGCTCTCTTTGCTTCTCTACCTCTCCCTTAAGTGTTAATGTACTTTAACTGTCCAATTATTCAGATGGTGTGAGGGGGAGGATCTGGAGACCAGGAGCGTCAACAAGAAGAGGTGGTGAGAGGAGGAGCGGACCTCGGACCAGACTGTATATTAGACCCTCTCTATCGGGCTCTGCTCTCCTGCTGGGTCTAAAATCGGTTTCCTCTGGGTCCACCATGTTGGGACAGCTACTTCTTCAGAGTGCGGCGATCCTGTGGCTGGTGCAGACGGCTCGTACAGGTGGTGAGTGTCTGAGGGCCCTGCTGCGTAAAACTGTGATCAACTCAGTCATCAAATTCATTTGTCAAATATTGGATTTAAATTCCTATATTTTTCAAGATTAAATGTATGACATGACTGTGGCCTTGGATCAGGGTCAGTTTGAGAGAAGTGACTGGTGTGAACTTTGAAGTTAGAGTTCATACAAACGTAAAGCTGGTAAAATCATTGGAAGGTTAATACAGGACTCTAATTGGCCAATTAAGCGGTTCTAAACGTAATCATCACAGTAATTGTGAGAATCCTTTCAAAAGAAACGGAGCTCTGTGGCTTATTGTTTCTGGGACCTGTGCTCAGGAACCACTCTGTCTCTCACAATCTATTTAAGTTCCCCTCCCACAAGATTTTTAAGAAAATAAATAGGATATACAATGAAGGTCTCCCTGACACCATTTTAAGTGCAGCGCCTCCTTTTAAAAGTTAAAGCTGTTGATAAAAGTTGATTTCATACACTTTTTATACTGGAATACGCAAAAACTACTTAACAAATTTCAGGAAAACTTTGTTTAAGGGTCAGTGAGGAACCCATTAAATATTGGATTTCTCATTAATCTTTATTGAAAAATAGTCAGGACTGTTAAGGGGACTGATATTTGAGAGTGAACAATTTGGTGCAGTTCCAAATAAAAATCCAGATCTGGTGAATTTAAATGTGGTTTCTTAAGGGGACTGAGATATCCACCACTCTAGTTGCTCTTGTTTTAACTGTGTTTGATTGATTTAAATCATTTGCACCAGTCAATACATATGTGCTCTTTGCATGTCTGAAATGTTTTTAATGTCCCATATCGCCCTTTAAATTGTTTGGACACCATCCAGTCGGATACCAGAACTGAACTGTGCAACATTCATCAAGAATCTAAGATTTTGTTTATTGAGATGAGCAGAAATCCCAAAAAGAAGCGTTACATTTTTTTTCTTGCACTCTTATAAGACTCAAACCTTGTTCAAATACTTGATGCTTCCGTCTCGTGCGGTGCAGCCTGCTGAGATGAGCGGGAGATGACACAGATGTCTCTGATGGTCGGGTTTGCCTGTCAAATTTCAAACGATGATGTTAAACTGAAATCTTAGCAACGCGACTTGTGAAACTCTCCCGTTTGACTGGCGCTCCACCAAATTTTCTTATGATGACGCGAAGCCGACATATATTCAGTTTTCTCTTTAAGCCGCGGCCTCGGTTCGTGAAATCAAAGGCCGCTCGTCTTCAGTGGCAGCAGCAGTCTAAATTTAACATCCCTCTGTGAGGAGGCAAGAGAATGGTTTTACTGCTTGTACACAGTCACTCCACTGACTCCTCTTCAGACTCACAGAAACAGTTTGACAGACTAGTGACTCACCGACAAACTTTAATGAACGTTTGTGTGACATTATAATCCAGAGACCTTCTGAAAACTACTGGGGATGGAAGCGGGGCTGAAATCGATGTTTTTAAAACACAAGGCCCTTCTCTTCATGTTAATATATTTAAACACCCTCCCCCTCATTGGAACATTGTAAGACAGTAAAACTGCAATTTCAACGTCAATATATCAGAATAAATTCCACGACATGTTTCATCTTATTCCAATGATTAGCAGATGAAGTGTTTGAAGAAGTGACCTGACAGTAGTTTTATACATGATGTGTTTAAGGTTATGGAGCTGCAACAGGAATATCCAATGGACAAGGGATGCATCCTCACAGTGAGTCCTTCACATTCTTTATGAAACATGACAATCATGACACAAGCCACTGCTTTAATGTGTTGCTTCTCGTTTTTAGGAAATAAGCCCCAAAACGGTGGAGGTGTGGGAAGAATGCTGATTCCAACAAAAGGTAAACTAATAAAATTTCTTTACCCATGAACTCAATTTTTTCTAAGAATTAGAGCATCTGTTTGTCTTCGTCTTATATATATTTTATTTTTATTTTGAAGGTGTGGGTCAGTCTATGGGAGCACATAATGGATACGGTGGATACCCTACGAAAGGAGCGGGTCAGTGATTACGCAGCATGAACACTGAATAAATCTGTGACGGCAGGTTGAGCTTGTTTGAGAATGTACTTGTCCTAATGTTTGACTCAGGTTATGGAGCAGCAGCTGGGGTTTCAAGTGCAAATGGAGCGAAGTCTAATGGTAAATGTTTTCACACCATAGTATGAGTTTGTCAAATAAAACGTTTTTTGACCACATATGTGATCTAATTAAGGCTACGGAGCAGCTGCTGGTGCGACCAATGGAGGAGGAGTGAAAGGTGAGTTCACCATGGACCTGTCTTTATTTAAACACGTCATCAATATCATTAATATAATATAATATAAATATGCTGATTGATTTGATTCTCTTTTAAGGCTACGGAGCTGGAGTGACAAATGGTCAAGGTGGCAAACCACAGGGTGTGTATTTTATTCTGATACCAAACTCACAGAAGAAAGCTGTCATGTCTTCCATTGTTATATCTGGTCTATGATTACTTAGCTCACACAGGTATTTGAAAGTTGGTTATCATCTATTTAAATTCACTCAAATGCTCCAGAACTACAATGTCCCACTGCCACTTAATGACTGATTGATAAAATATAATCATTCTCTGCAGGATATGGTGTTCAGGCCGGTCCAGCTCATGGAAGACCAGTGAAAGGCAACGGTACGATACTGAGGACGAACACACACACACACACACACACACACACACACACACACACACACTGAGCAACAACACAAATTAAATTGAACTATCTTTACGCTCCAGGCTATGGTGCTCAGGCTGGTGGATACGGTGGACAAGGAACTAAAGGTATTTTAGATGTGATGATTTACTCATCACATCTAAAACACATCTTGGATCAGTAAATCATTCTTATTAGCATCTTTTAATAATATTTTGATTGGGTTCAAGTTATAGAATTTCTATACTATCATTTGAGTCTGACGCTGAGTTATTTAAACACACTGCGTCTCTTTCCTCCGCAGGTTATGGAGTTCCTGCTGCTGTTGGAAACGGTGGACATTTGAATGGTGAGTCCACGGTTTCAGTCATTATCAGTTTGTGAATCAGTTTGAAATCAGTCACAAAACTACACTGGAACGAAGGAGCCTCTTGTTTGGTTTTTAGGTTATGGTGCTGCAGGTGCTCTGGGAGGGAATGGAGCTAAATCCAATGGTGAGTGAGATTCCCACAATGCTCTGGGATCAAAGAGAACTTATAATGCAAATTTATGGAAAACTAGATGAAATGTTTGTGTTTGTAGGAAACGGTGCTGCAGCGGCTGCACACAATGGGCTCGCAACGAAAGGCAAAGGTAAGATTGCTTTTGTGTGATTGATCAATCATGATATGTTAAAAATACAACCTTGTGTATCAGGAGAAACCTGTAAATATTTTTAAATAGGTCAGACTGATGATACATTTAAAAAAGGTGTCGTGTACCAGGCTATAAAGTTTTTTGAATATTTGGAGGTCTATGGTCTTTTTGGAGCCAGCCTCAAGTGGCCAGTCCTGGAACTACAGTTTTTGGCACTTTGGCTTCATTTCTTAGCAGCCTCTTGGGAATCCCTAATATAGAGGTGGATAAAACCAACAGGGCTTTAAAACACACATTTACATCAATAAATTGGTATCAGATGTTTTAATATAATATCGTACCTCAGGTCATGGAGCTGCAGCCGGTCCTTCCAATGGCAATGGGGCGAGACCAAATGGTGAGACGTGTAAAGTGGTTTTGTGTGTTTTTAAGAAATAAAAGATGTTTGTCTGTTTGACTGGAGTTGTCTCTGCATGTTTAAAAGGACACGGAGGAGCCGGCAGTAAACCCATGAATGGTTTCGGGCGTCCACCTTACGGGGCAGGTAAATCATGTTCTGTCATGTTCTCGTCAGGGGAACCAAAACGTTCACTTTGACACAAATGCATACGTCTGTATTTGTGTGATTTGAGGTGTGGGCGTGGGAACGGGACCCTCCAGAGGTGTGGGAGTGCCTCAGCTTGCCAGGAATCAAGGGAATGGTGAGTGGAGGTCATGACACAGAGCTGAGGTCAACTCCTGATCCACCAGTAACAATGTGTTTATGTTCTTCCAGCATACGGCAGCAATGGTTATAACGGTTACAGAGCTCAGCCCATGGGAGGTGAGTCATACACCAGTCAGTGTGTGTTGATTCCACTTCAGGGATACCGTGGTGAATAAAACATAAATGGTATTTGTTAATATATATGTATGTGTGTGTGTGTGCGTGTGTGTGCTCTATTTATAGCCTATAATGGTGGTTATGGTCAGGCTGGTTTGGGTCTGGGATCTCGGTATGGAAATGGCGGAATGAAGGGGCCAAAGCAAGGTAGGGTTACCTCTGCTGCCTGGTGGAAATTAAATGTGTATGAAAATGATCTTATTAGTGATTATTACATGTTTTTTCAAATTTAGGTTCCAATGGTGCTGCTGGTGTGTCCAGTGGACAAGGAGCAAAATCCAATGGTAAATCTGTAAATGTTACATAATACATATAATATATCACATAAAACAACAAAAGTAACTCCTTGGATTAACTATTAAAATCGTTGTATCTTCAAATCTAAAGGTTATGCAGGAGTCAGAGGTCATGGGGGAAATGGAGGCAGGCCCAATGGTTTGTCAACGTCCAGGAGTTTTCAAACTTTTTATTCTTTTCAAATTAAAAGTATAAGATCAATAATTCTCTTTGTGTTTGTGGAACTCTTGAGGTTATGGATTCCAAAATGGTGAAGCCACCAAGCCGGCAAAACCAGGTATGTGCATGGTCACGATTAAATAACCTAGATGTGATACTTTTTGGGTGTTTATGCATTTTACTTTTCTCTGTTAAGATTCTTATGTGAGCTATGGACATACTTTAAATGTCTCAGACAGTGAAACATGATTTTCAGAAATGACACATAATGTAAATGTATATGTTTAATGTATTTTTAGGGTATGGTGGCTTTCTTAACGGGTATGGAACCAAACCCAAAGGTGAGACGATTGACCCTCTTTTAAATGATCATTCCAGGATTGAATATGCTGTTTTATTTTAAACACATTTCAGTCAGATGAAGAAGCAGTTTGTTTTAATTCACAGGATATGGAGCCACCAGGGGGGGTGCAGTGAGACCTCAACCAGGTGCTGCTCATATTTTACACTCGTCACAAACTGGAGTTCTAAATACAGTTTAAGATCTTTCTATAATGATTTCTTTGCTCTCAAGGTTATGGGAACGGAAATGGAGCTGTTCCCAATGGATATGGAAATAAACCCACTGGTGATTGATAATATTTAATGTTATAAAGTATTCATCATGTAGAAATTACGCCCTGTGATTCAGTGTGATGGTGAATAATAATGTTTTATTGTGTTTGACCTGAGGTTATGGAGCTGGAGCTGGGGTTCCCAATGGATATGGAGCAAAACCCAATGGTACATGCTGTTAATATGCAACTTAAGAAAAAAAAAAAAAAGAAATCCATTTTACAAAGTGATTCCATTTATTTTTTACCAGCCTTGTTCAATTTTTGTCATATTTTTCTTTCAAGGTCATGGGGTCAGAAACGGGGCTGCGTTCGGGGGATATGGAAGCCGTCTCAATGGTACGTTGGAAATTCAAGAATTCTCCTTTAGTTTATATGTGAATCTTGTGAGGTCACTGGTCAGTTTACAGTGTCACTGTTTGCAGGACATGGAGGCCAAGGACAGGGAGTCCCAAGCAGAGGCGCAAAACCTCAAACCACCAAAGGAGTTGGATCTGTGTCTCCCAGTGAAGGAGCTAAAACTCTCGGCACCGGTGAGAATTCTTGTTAATATACATTCATATAACTCATTCAATGTTTGTGCATCATTCTGCCTCAGTTTCTCTTTTTGTCTTGTGCAAATCATTTAATTAATAATGTCTGCACTGCTTGTGTGATTCGTGAAAATGTTGTTTTTCAGGCTACGGTGTTCCTGCTGGTTTACCTGATGGACAGTTGGCTAAAGCAGCAAATACTGGTAAATGCACTTATTCTGTTTCTGCCTTATGTTCTGTTGATTATTTCATTTCATTTTCTATCTTATAAATGATGCTCTGTGTGTTCTTTTTTTTTTTTTTTTACCAAACTTTGGTTTTGATGTCGCTTCTGTGTTTGGTTCTCAGGTTACGGTGTGATGCCTGATGGGATGGGGACGCAGGGTGCAGGGGCTTCCAGTGGAAAAGGCCTCAAGGGTGGAGCGCTCTCTCCTGTGCAGCCAAGTGCAGCACCACAGGAGGGCGCTACGCCTCAACTAGCAATAACTCAAGCTGCAGCGCCTGTTGCCCCTGTTGCCCCTGTTGCCCCTGTTGCCCCTG